TTTTGGATTGACACATCATACATTCCAATTCCAGCACATCTTGTGCCGACTTAATGCTTGGTTATGCATGCTCTTTCCATTGGGTACATGGACTTCTCTATGCATCTCTCACAACGAGGTGCTAAAAGTTCATCGCGATACATCCAACGAGCCCGGCACCCTCAACTACACTGTTGCCCTGGGGGATTTTTCGGGCGGAGGTTTACTGCTGGAATCTTCATCGGGCGATAAATCCTTGCGAGTCGAAGCCTTACAGAAGTGCATCAACTTTTCATTGGTTGACACCAGGTCTTCTCCCCTTGCATTTGATGGTGGTCTTTGGCACGCCACTGAGCCCTTCAGGGGCGACAGGTGGGTCATCACGGCCTACACCTGCAGGCGTTTAGCGGAATTTCAGTCATCAGATGTTGATGCATTGCGTATGTGGGGTTTTCCCCTGCCTGGCGAATCCTTACCTCGTCGGATGCCTCAACCTCAGGCGGTCGAACTGCCTCAGCCCGTTCTTCCGAAGAAGTTCTGCCTTTTGCTGGCTTCGCAACATGCTGAGGTGCTTCGTGCTGGCCTCTCAACTGCTGGAGTTCCTCATGTTTGCATTCAGTCTCTGGATCAGGAACATGCCAGAAACTGCATTTTTCGTTGTGCGGGTGAGGGTGTCTTTGCCTCCATTTTTCTGGTTTATTCACCCCACTGGAGCGAGAGCCATACTCGTTGGGTACTCCAACTTTGCAAGGTGGCACACTCTGCAGGTGCAACGGTGCATTTTGACATTTCTGGTTGGAGCCAATGCTGGTCCGATCAACTTTTCCTACACTGCATTTCCACCGGCCTTCAAAACATTGTGCAGGTACCGGCATGTGCTTACAAGGGGGTTGGTGGTAGCCCCTGGATCATGGTCTCTTCGTCGCCTTCTTTCTCTGCTTTGGGGCACCTATGCTGTTGTAGTAGATGCAGCGCGACCTCCACGATCTCTGATTATCCTCCTGCATTCGTGGATGCACTTTGCGACATACTTTTGATATCCAACCTTCGCAAATGCTCAGGTCAATGCGAGTTCTCCATCGATGAGGCCTGGTCCTGCATTCCGGTCAAACAGTGCGATGCTTCACCACATGCTTGGGTGGATGGTGGTGGCCTAAACAGCCGCCCGGACTGGAGTGGCCAGGACCGCTCCACCAAGGACATTTTCAAATCACTTCGTCATGCATTGATTACCTGGTGTGGCAAGGCATGCATTCCTTCCAGGCTGCGGCATAAGCTTTTGCATCCTTCTGAGGCTCATCTGTTCTCTGACACTGAGCTTGGCGAAATTCGTGGGTTGTTTTGTACCTGGTTGGCGTCTCAGGGTTGCTCCGATGTCGACTGGTCCATTAAGAATGGGCAGCCATACTGCCTGAATGCTCTGTCTGCATTATCCTCGGCACTTCAGGATGCGGATATGACTCTTTTCAATGCATTGCTCAGTGGGGTTCCCACTGGCTTCAAACACGACATCCCCCTTTCGGGGGTTTTCGCTCCCTCAGGTCGCACTGCTTCTGATGATGCATTGACCGTATGTGAAGAAAATTGGCAGGGAGCCGAGGACGACCCGGTCCTCCTCGAGGAACTTGTCCAAATCGAGGTGGACAAAGGCTGGCTGCGATGCATTGAGTCGTTGGAAGCTGCACGCCAGATCTGGCCCAATGTTGCTGTCGGCAAGCTTAATATCGTACATTCTGAAGGCCGTAAACCGCGACTCGTGGTGGATTCCTCCATTTGTGGTACGAATGCATCATGCCTTATTCCCGAGCGGTCTGCACTCCCTACTTTACAGACTATACAGACTTCATGGCCGTTGCGTGGGAAACATGAGCCACTAGCCGCTTGGTCTCTGGATGTGCAAGCTGCACACAAGTCCATTATGGTTCGGGAGTCCGAGCAGGGCCTCCTCGGCATCCGGGTAGGCCCCAAGCTTTATTTCTATTCAGTGTGTCCATTCGGTGCTGCTTTTTCTGCTTTCTGGTTTGCTAGACTTGGTGCATTCTTCGTTCGGACACTGCATCGCTTGATTTTCATTGCTCATTTCCTCGCCATGTACGTGGACGATTTACTTGGCTTCCAATCTGCATCGGTGGCGGAGATGAGTTTTTGCATTACCCTCTGTTTCTGTGGTGCATTTTCCATTCCTTTGTCGTGGAAGAAATTGCAGTTCGGCTGCTCCATCCGCTGGATAGGGTGGGAGCTCGATTTTGGCATGGGGTGCGTTTGCATTCCGTCTGACAAGCTGGAGAGATTACATTCAGTTATAGTCACTGCTCTCCGTGGTAAATACACGGATCGTGTTACATTGAGCAAGTTGTGTGGCATGATGCAATGGCTTTTCAAGCTGTTTCCATTGGCCAGGCCCTGGCTCAGGTCACTTTACCAGGACCTCAACACTCCTCGTGCAACCAACTTCAGTGTTCGTCAAACCGACTGGCAGTCCTTCATTTCATGTCTCAATGATACCTTGCATCTTGTGAGGTTACCCACTGGATCCGCCATTACAGTGGGCAGCAAGGTGCTTGCAGTGAGACATCGCAAAGTTAGCACCAAGCGCGAACTTTTGTCTTGCAACATTGGTGATAAGGATATCTGGCTTCGCATTACTGATTCGGCCTCAAAACGCCGTGCATTGAGCCCAGCTTCTCGCAACTTATTGTTTTTCTGGCTGCAGTGGTCTTCATTGCCCCCTATCTGGCGATCCCTTCGTCCAATTGACACTATCATGGTGGAGGCTGCCGCCGATGCTATGGGCAATGGCCGTACATTTGCTATTGGCGGCTACATTGCTTTACCGGCTGGGGAATTCTGGTTCTCTGAGAGATTTACTGTGGAGGACTTTGCATTTGCAGAGCTTCCTCTTAAGTCCGAGGCGCACAAGGACATTACTTGCTACGAATGCTTGGGTCAGATTGCATTGGTTTGGCTTTTGAGTGCAGTTAACCCAGGATGCAGGCTTTCTGTTCGCATGCATTCCTGGTGTGACAACAGTGGTGCCGAGGCCACAGCAAACAAACTTTTTACGACTTCATGGCCTCTTGCTGCATTTGTGCAGCGACTAGCCATTTTGAGTAGCTTTACTGGTGTGCATCTTGATGTGCATCACATTGCAGGTCCTAAGAATGTGGAAGCGGACTTTTTGAGCCGTTGGCTTCCTCCTGCTCCATTACCTGATCGGTGGAGCATGTCACGTCGTCGACGTATTCCTTTAACCTCGTTATGGACTGCGTCGCCTTCCATTTCCCTTTCGCCGGAGGGCTGGAAGCCTCCTTTTCGAGTTCCGAGTGTTTCTCCATTAGGAGCAGCACTCTAATCACCTTGTCGCACGTTTTTCATTTGGTGGAATTGATGCGCGACTTCGGTTCTCTGGCAGATTGCATTTGGGAGAAAACATGCAGACCCTTTTCACAGGCAGCTTCTTGCTGCTGAAGCTCGGATCTGCATTTCCCGCCAGAGAACAAAGGAGCGAGTGTTGTGCGAGTGACTGCATCAATTCCATTTGAATATTTCCATTTGAATATTTCTTGCTTATATGTATTTCCATTACATATAAAGCTGCAAATAGGAAGCAGCTGCGAATACATTAGCCGAACGGTATGTGTGCTTGCTCACGAGTGTTTGGTAATGTTTTGCATGCTTGCTGCACTCATGACATTCCATGTGCATTGCAGCAAGCAGGCTCGCAGCTGCCAACTCGCCTGCATAGCGGGCAGAAACTTTTGTCCCACCCACCTCTTCCCTTTTTCTGGGTGCGAGTGCTGGCGTTTGCACTCTTACACTGTTTTCGCATTGCTTGCATTTGCATTTGTTCTGCCTCTATATGGTCTGTCCTTTAAAAGGATCGGTCCATCTGCATTCTCTCTCTCCATGGCAGGTCGGTGCCTTTTGATGCACCTAGATCCCATCGGGGGGGGAGAAAACATGCAGACCCTTTTCACAGGCAGCTTCTTGCTGCTGAAGCTCGGATCTGCATTTCCCGCCAGAGAACAAAGGAGCGAGTGTTGTGCGAGTGACTGCATCAATTCCATTTGAATATTTCCATTTGAATATTTCTTGCTTATATGTATTTCCATTACATATAAAGCTGCAAATAGGAAGCAGCTGCGAATACATTAGCCGAACTGCAGCGTCCGGAAAAACTCAGGATCAGGAGCTGACCTTGCACCAACTTTGCGGAGGCAGTCGCACGCTGCAGGTCAAGTAGATCTTCGGCTTGATCGGCATGATCTTGGGCGGTGTCCCGCTCACCGTCACCTGCAACATAAACAATGACAGCTGAACCAAAGTAATCTGCTCAATGACACGATTGACTCCACGGAGGATGCCCGACAACCTTTTATCGTTTGCTGCTGCAACAGTAATTATACAGACATAATGAAAAGCCCGCAGTGGTTGCAGCACGACGGCCTCCCAAGCCACAGTGGCAATCTTGTTGCGGGGCAAGCGGTCATAGTTACCACTGAAGAGAGCGGCGAGGGAGACAGCACGGACATTCTCTGTCTCCTCTTTGCTCAACGCTGCTGGCTTGAAGACACTCGTCTTGCAGCTCACGGTCGGGGCCACATCATATCTGAACCCAAACAGGGCTTCGTCATCATCAAGCTGGGTCGCGGCATCTTCTGGCGCAGCAGCAGTCTTGGATGACAGGTCATGTTGAATCTCACCTCTAGATTAATAAGCATAGCAAGCAAGCAGCAGGAGGCTTGGGCAGCACCACGTGGGACTCCAGCTCCACATTCACGAGGCCCTCCTCCGTGGCCTAGTAACGCAAACCAGGCTTTTAATAACCTTCCACATCACGAAGCCACCCAGTCCTACTTCATCATCATCACCATCAATCATCATTGTCGTCATTAGACTGACACTGAGAATCATCACATTCATTTAAGTCTGCCCTTCAAAACTTACACCGGCATCATGTGATGTCAGGACCCAATGCACAATCCCGCTGCGCTACGAGTGCTAGCATGCTTCTTAATCTGTCAATCGTGGGCGGCCTTCAGCCGCAGCAATTCGCATAGTGGCAATGCTGACTTGTTCACGACAACGAGCTCCTTGTCGCTGCCCAATCGCCATGGCACCCCGGAGCTTTCCTCCAGCACGTTTCCTGGAATCAGCGGGCTCTCGCATTAAAACCTGCTTCAATGCCGGAACACTCGTGCAATGGTTGTTTAGCACTCAGTAGTGGTACCACTCGTCGTGCCAAATACATGATTCTTATTGTCTTCTTTTGGAATCTCACACTTCATTTAAAACTAAGGGGTGTGCTTGTTGCTTTGATTCGATATTCTTATTTCAGACGAGGAGCGAACAGGACGGTCCGAGTAACTGCCCATCCCAAACCCACAAAGTTCAGAGCAGCAAAGATCCAGAGGGGAGTCGCTGGTGTTGCCGATCCACAAGGCGTACTCGGCCGTGATCATGATGCTCGGCTTGCCGGGGCGCCCAGTGACCATGGAAAGCCTGAGTCAGGTGCCATGAGCAGCAGGACACACACACACAGATCTAAACATGTACGCTAATTTTTCGAATTTAGGGCTAAGTTCCTGTTACAAAGTTAGGGTTTCGGGGTTTAGGCATTTGGGGGTTTAGTAAAAGGGGTTTAGGATTCGGGATGAAAAGTTAAAGGCTTCTGATTCTGGGCTTTGGGCTAATAATTACACGCATTGCGACCTTGCATGCTCAGAACAAATTTTTCAATCAATGATTCAAACCTTAAGAGCCATCAGACTGGTAGCATGGTCTCCTTCAGCTCTGCGACGGGGACCGTTGCGAGGTCCACGCACCGCTCAACGTCCAGCGGCTCTCCATCCTGCGAGTAGTCGCACTCCGCAGCCAGGCGCTGGGTCTGCTGGCTGACCGAAGAGGCCTGTCGGCCCATCTGGCTCAGAGCTCGCGGCTTCGGGAACTCATTCAAAAACTCCTGGCGCAATGCCAGGAGCTTTGCATGCTCCGGGGTACCGCCCGGAAACTTGTCCTCAAGCGAAGACGGCCATATGGGCTTGGAGCCCTGCAAGGAAAGGATCTGCAGCTGCACGGTCGCCGCCTCCAAATCGACATCATCTCCAGCGCGTCTCTTTGCAGGGGCGGCGCTGCTGTTATCCCACCAGGAGTAGATCTTGCCGCTGAGCTCCGCTTTCACATCAGCATGCTCCGGGCGGAAGAGGCCGACGTAGCGCATGCAACTCTTGCCTTCGCTCGCAATCATCTTGTTCACGGCCGCGCGGGCAAACTCGGCTTGCCTGCAGGAGCAACCCTTCGAATTTCAAGTATTATATGATGGTTTGACTGAAAGAAAGGAATCAACATATCAGTTCAGGTCCAACCTGTTGGGACAGAGGTCCACGATCACCAGCCTGTCCGTTTCGGAGAAGCCCATGCCATCCATGAAAGCATCGAGGATGCCCTCATGCAGCGGCACTCCCTTCCTGTTCGTATGATGGCGCACTCATGTTCTGATTCGGATAACAGACCACTGGCTCACAGGAATGAATCAGTCAAATACAAAAACCCTTATCTTTCGATGTGACCGAAACGCCCACGCGACCGACCCTGTGACACACGAGTTAAACTTGACCCCAATCCTGACAACCTATTTAGTATGGTTCTCCTGCTAATGATTACCGATATTTTTTTATGGTTCACACCCACTAAGTTTAAAAGAACCTTTCAGTAGTATTAGAAAAGAAACAAACTCTTTGTAAATGCCCGAAGTCTGACCTTCGGACTCAGTTTGTTGCCCAGATGCTGCTCTATCCTCGCCGCAGGGCCAGGCCGCGAGGTCTCGTAGCCCAGGAAGTCCGCGACTTTCAGGAGCGGGAAGGGTCCCATTCGGCACTCTTGCAAGACTCGCGAAGCGCTCCAGCTTGTTGCATCGAAGCCACTGAAGAGGCAGGTCAAGCAGGTTTGCGTCAGGGACCGCTTGTCAGATGCACTTGCGTCGGCAGGCTTCTCGAAAAGCAGGGCTGTCACGGAGTCTGCATTGATCTTTGCCTTCAGCAACAAGTCCTCCACGGTCCGCCTGTGCTTGACGCTCGTTGACGAAGCCATCGAGCGATGCGGCAGCGGAAGCTGCAAGAGGCCCACGTTGTTGGAGCTGCTGGCAAGCAAGTTTGCCAGCAGCTCCACGGAGTCCCTCACGTAATCTACATTCGCTGGCAGCACCGTGTAATCGCAAAGGCACAACACGTACCTGAATTGGAAGCGGTCATCCCAGGCCGCTTGATAGAAAACAACAACTCCGAAGGCCCAGAACACTTGATCCTTAAACCGTAGACCCCGAGGACACTAAGTTATTCTTAGTTAGTTTACTTACATCACATGTCAACTAGTCACTGAAGTAACACACAACCCCAAATAGGAGCTCTAACTAAATAACTCATAATTTAGATTCCCAACCCGACAATTATTAATTACTGTCATATTATGTCAATTATTAATCTCTTAATAATAAACGTAACACTTAAACCCAAAATAGGAGCTCTACCTACATTCTGGGACCTCGGGCTCCGAGTCTGTAACAATGATTGTAATGATGAATTGGGATTCACGAATTGGATTACTTTAGGCCTGACTCGAGGCTGCAGGATAAGTAATCGTCGAGTGGCTGCGTGCCCGCGATGCCACGGAACTGGCCCAGGTATTTGAGCACGTTGGGCAGGACATTGTTGCCTTTGCAGCTGAGCGTCTCGTCCAGCATCTCGCAGTGGCAGTACTCGGCCATCCACGTGTGCACAAAGTTGTCGCCTTGCCTTGACAGCATAACTAACGTAGTCCACGTGACAAGGTTTCTGGCTAGTGTTATTCGTGTCAAGCTGCATTTGCCTGTCCTTGACGTACTTCAAATCCTTTGCCGCAGCGATGGCCTTGAGCACATGGTCTGGGGTCCGCTGCCGCAATGCCTTGATGTCAGACTCGACCAAGGCGGTGATCTGGGCCAGGGTGGCTTCGCGGACTTGCCGCGCATGCTCTGCCTGCGTCGCATCCATCTCCGCCTGTGCCTGGGTCTCGATCTGGACCACCACCGCCCTGAGGGCGGAAAATTGTGAGGTAGATGGTTCATTATGCTGCTTGTTTATTAACCGTGCACCTGAAGGCGGAAACAGATTTCAGATCTGCTGGCGGCACGGCGCTCTCAAGGACGTGGACAAGGTCCGTGTCCAAGTAGCCGTGATGGAACTGATGCATGAGCTGCCGCCGGAGTTCAGGAAACTCTTTGCCGGGGCACATGGCTTCCAAGAGGCCGAGGAAGTGCAGCATGGCAGCACAGCAAGCATGCTTTGTCACCGTTTCCTTGTAGGTCGGTGCCTGAGGAAGCTAAGTTTAACACTGCTGCAACCAATCTTGGATTCTCAGTATTTTACTCTGAAGGCCAAACTTGCAGTTGCAACCACTAAGATTCCAAGGCACCTTGCGCAGGGGCTCGGGCGCGAGGTCGAAGTCGCTGACGAGGCGCTCCACCAGCAAAGATGCCTTATAGAGGTAGACGTAGAGATAGAAATAGAGATAAAGATAGAGCTAAAGATAGAGATAGAGATAGACATAGCCAGCCATGATCGAGGGGGCGCGTGAGCTGAGGATGATGATGGTCATGATGATTCGGACAAGTATTGCATGATGATTATGATTCTGATTGGACTACACTGACCAAGGTCTGAAAACGAAAGGATTATGCTCACGATGATCGCATTCTACGTGTCTGGTGCAGTATAGTAGACCACTAAGAAAGCTTAATTGAGTTCAAGAGCCATCCCTCAACCCCAAATTTTGCAAACCAGATGTTCACGTTCAGTCACAATCCTGGAATCGCCCGGGGCGTTTGTCAGCTGGTCCCGCCATGCATCCATGCCCGGCGAGGTGTTGATGTAGGAGGCACTGAAGAGTTGTCGTGCCACAGCTTCATGGCCCAGAAACTTCACCATACCTCGTTGCTTCACTGCCATTTCCAATGCATTTTTCACATCCTTCGGCACGGCCGTGATGAGCTGCTGCACAGCTCCGGCTTCGCTCCGGCCTATTTGGAAGGCCTTCGCAATGGCAGTCTGGGAGTGCCAATCCTGAGACTGAGAATAACAAGACTTCGTAGGAATCGAACATAAAGCCAAACGTCTTCAAGTTGCTATCTCGTTCTGAGTCTCCGAAAACTGCTGTTCGGCTCCTCCTGCTCCAGCTCTTTGTAAGATGACAACTTGACGCAGGAAGTGGAAGCAGTTTGGGGGTCGCCGCGTTGCGGTAGACGCGAGGGTCACTCCTAGTCTGTCAGTTTTAACAACAAATAATAATAACCAGTTATCGGTCTATGACTGTCGACGCCAATTGTCTTGACTTGGTGCATGCAGGCCACCTCGCGAAGCCAACACCTTGGCTTTCACACCTTGAAAGGCTCCGAAGGAGCAGTGGATGGTGCCCATTGTCACCTGAGGCCGGGAAATGATCTGAAATCTCACTCTATTATTTTAAAACTTAATATCTAAAGGCTTCACGTTTACACTATCTGACTATGATAAATTTTAATTACAGCATGTGTTGATGTAAAGACCAGGCGCACGAATGTGGTGGGGCACTTCTGCCTCCAATCCCAGCACTCTGATTCCACAGAGTGCCAGGATCAAGCACACTGCTCTTTTCCACCCTTTCACGTACCCGACACTGAAGGGTGGCAACAAAGCACCTGAATCACAACATCAAATGCACACAGATATGACTCGCGCTATGCTCCCAAGTTACTGCCCAGGTTGATGGCGGGGCATTCGGTGATGCCGCCGTCGAGGTACTCCGGTGGAGGCAGCGTGACGCCCAACTTCTCGACACCGACAACGTTGGGGTCAGTCAGGAACCTTAGATCGCAAGTCAAATCAGAACCCGGACCAAATCAAGAAGATTATAAGTACACATTAAAGTAACACCAGTCTATAGTACTGGGTCCAGTAGCCCCTCTGTCAAGATGAGTTCCAGGAGGAGCTCGGCCGTTTCAGGCTCCATCATTCCGCTAATTCCGAAATCTGAGCGCCATCCCAACTGGAAGGGCCTCAAGTAGCAGCCGTTGCTGTCAATGCTGTAGGCCTTCCTGCAGGTGCAGGCAGTGCAAAAAAAATCGTTTGTGTTTCAACTGTGTCGAAACAGTCAAGGTGCTCAGAATCTGCAGGACAGAAGTTGTCCATCCACCGGGCGAAGTCAAGCTTTTTCTCCTAGCAGACAGAGGGTGAGCAACAATGCCATGTTGGGACGAAGTCCTCAGTAGTGACTTAGTATTAGTAGTTAGACTTTATTAGACTGAATGAATGATTCTGATAACTATGACCCATGACGAGTTTACAACAATTGCCTTGCCTCAGTGTCCATTTGGTTGCTAAGGAAGGCGTCGATGGAGCCGGCGGGCAGCACGGTGTCCTTGAGCCTCAGACTCAGAGAGGAAACGGACTGTTGATGCTCACTCCATCAGGTCCAGCACGTGCAGTAGATTAACAAGAGGCATGTCACAGTCCATGGCTTAATAGTTTAGCATGAACTTTGCAGAACAAGCTTCCAAGCCGTGATCTTGTGAACATAGCTGTACTTTTCCAGGGTGGCCGGATTTGCTCCTTGCTTGGCTGCCTTCGCATTGGCAGGCCCAGCCTTGCCCTCCCCTGACTTCCGCTTGCCGGCCATGGTCACTCACTCCGTGAGGCAGGGCCCAAGCTGCAGGACTACTGCACTGTCACTGAATGAATCTCTGAGTTCAGGACAAGTTTCGCTCGGCAAGCGGCCGGACTGCAATTAAGCTTGTCGGTGTGGCCTACAGTACAGTGCTGAAACGATGAAATTGAATTCGTAACAGTAACAGTAACACAGAATGAACCTGAAACTAGCCGTCAACTTAACACCATGCTAGGTTAAGGTAGTCTGGCCTAGAGAGTAACAGTAGTAATACTCAGCAGCGGGACCAGTGACATTGAATGAATGAATCTGAATTCAAAACATGTAACACCGAATGACATGAAACTGAGCCTGAAGCCTTAACTTAACACCAGGTTAAGTGATTCAGTTACTTAGGCTAGGTCCTCACATCGACAGAGTCAACCGCACGCTCGAGTCGGAAAACTTTGAGGGATGAGAGCATCAATGCTGACACATCAGATGCATCAAGGGCTACCTGAGCCTGGTCAGTGCATCAGAAAGCGACTCTCAGCGCTGCATAGCAAGCCGCCCAATTTCTTATGATGTCAAATTCACACTCAGTCAATAAGGCGCCACTGTCCTAGGATGGCTCAGCAACAGACAATGAGAAGCGTACTGTAATGCACATCAAAGGCTCCAGGCGACTACTAAATATGTCCTGCTGCCAAGGGTCCCGGCTGAAGAACTGTGATAATGAGGCCAAGTGACGCTTGTTCTGAATTGACTAACTGAAAACATTCTCATCGCCGTAGCAGAATCTGCGGAACGCCAAAATCCTGCGCGGCAATCTAAGGGGCATTGACATGCTGCCATAAAGACGGAAACTGGGACATTCTGGGCCTGTCATTGTAAGGAGCAGCTATGGGCCTTGAGGCTGACCTGTCTGATTTCAATCTGGTAAATTATTATTGCATGTCTGTTTTGGGTAATTGGACAGCCTGGAACATTCAGCTTCACTTTAATTTAGCTTGCCGAATCGAAGTTACAGTTTTGGAGCTGAGAGGCGCTATGGATTTAATTTAGACACTTCGCACATGAACTGTTTTGCTGGAGTCGGACTCGGTGGGCGCACTGCAACAGAGTGACTCAAAGCCACTTGGGCTCCACGTGAAAGGAGACCATGGAATCACAACGTGTGGCTTGCAGCAGCTGTCTGACCAGATGATTATGTAATGATCGTCCAGGACCAGCATCCAGAAGCAAACAAACAGAGCACCGCTTGTCACACCGAATCGTCCCGCAGGCTCCTGCAGGGCTTAAAGAAAGAGAACATGGACAAAGACTTTCGATACAGTATAATTAACTATTATACTAGTAGCCATGATGACATCATGATGATGTGTTTCTCTGTCTGTCTGTCTGTCTGTCTGTCCCCGAGTGTCTGTAACACTGAAGGTGTTGCGGTCACAGACAAATCAATTCAGAGGAGTTTGCGTTGAATCTGTCTGTCCTCCGACGCGATTGAAAAAGTTTGCGTTGAATCCGTCCGACGCGACAGGCGTTTGCGTTGAATCCGTCCGATGCGAGAGGCGTTTGCGTTGAATCTGTCTGTCCGACGCGACAAGCGTTTGCGTTGAATCAGTCGGACGCGACAGGCGTTTGCGTTGAATCCGTCCGACGCGAGAGGCGTTTGCGTTGAATCTGTCTGTCCGACGCGAAAAAAATTTGCGTTGAATCCGTCCGACGCGAGAGGCGTTTGCGTTGAATCCGTCCGACGCGACAGGCGTTTGCGTCGAATCCTTCTAACGTCGGTTGGCCAAAGCCCAATTTGCGATGAATCACAGGTAGGATTCGACTCAAATTGGGGCTTCGGCGAGAGAGCCGATTTGTGATGAATCCCAGGTGGGATTCAACTCAAAATGGGCCTCTGGGCCAGGTTTCACTACTCCTGTATAATTTCAGGGGTGGTCCAGCCTGGCCCAGAGGCCCAGTTTGAGTTGAATCCCACCTGGGATTCATCACAAATCGGCTCTCTCGCCGAAGCCCCAATTTGAGTCGAATCCTACCTGTGATTCATCGCAAATTGGGGTTTGGCCAACCGACGTTAGAAGGATTCGACGCAAACGCCTGTCGCGTCGGACGGATTCAACGCAAACGCCTGTCGCGTCGGACGGATTCAACGCAAACGCCTCTCGCGTTGGACAGAGGGATTCCGCGCTAAACGCTTCTCGCGACGCAGGACCGCGGGAGCGATTTGAGTTGAAAAGCACCTGGGTTTCAACACAAATCGGTGGTTCCTCCTGGCCGGCCATTTCAATAGGTTTCCACTCTAGCACGCAAAATCTGCTGAACAATGGGCGTTTCCGCGATTCTGAGGGGTTTCTAGGCTCCAGGAGCCTAGAAATCCGCCACCCGCCAGCTGCCAGGCTGGGCGGGTGTCCGCGCAAGCCATGTTTACTCCAACCCCGACAAGTCTCTCCTAACTACAATGCCGCACCCCAATTTTTTTGCGTTTTCGTGCGGCGAAAAGTAGATACGCACGCTACTAGCACCTTCCCGGGGAGAATGACCGGCCACGGCCGGACCGTCGTCAAATTTGGGTTTTTGAAGATCGAACTCGTAATTCAGAATCTATGAAAAACCCAGCGAATAAGACCGAAATCGACCAGAGCAAGAAATGTTTCTAGCCTAATTTCGTTGCAGCCAAGCCATGGAACTCTATTTTTGGGTTTAGGATCGTCTCAAGGCCCCTAAATTTAGATAATGGCTGCAGAACATCCCTCGTTCGGGCAACCCCTTCTGTATTTGGGTTATAAAAGAATCACTCCATTTCTAATTACGGTGCTTTTGGATCTCTATGACCCACCTCGGTCGACGAGTGATTGTCAGGCCGCCGCGCCAGCAGCGACTGCAGAAGCTCGCCCTTTGCCACGTGGCCCACCCTGCTTCCCGCGGCCTTTACCGGCGACCCGATCACGCCTTGCAGACGCAGCTTCGGCACGCTCCTGAGCGACTTCTGCCATGTGAAGAGCGTCTGCCCAGGGTACTCCATCAGCCCACGCTGTCGCGGCTGAACGCAGCACGATCGATCGCTCGGCCCGTTGATCGTACTCACGGACGAGTTTTGTGTGATCCTTCGGACGGCCAAGCCTGCTCAGAGTCCAGGGGATTGCAAAATTAAATGCCAATGGGCCCCGTGTATACATCATTCATTATATGTGCATGCCCCGATCGTGCAAAACAACAAGAACACCAACAGCACCAACAACAACAACAACAACAACAACACCAACAACACCAACACCAACACCACCACCACCACCACCACCACCAACAATATCCTGAAAGCAGCTACGAACGACAACGCCGCCACCACTACCACCGTCACATAACAATAACAAGAAGAACAATAACAACAACAAGAACAACCAAACTGTAATAGCATTGCTAGTACTTGCCATTAAATGCTTCTACTACCACACTGCTGCTACTACTACACTACTGCCATGACTTCCATTACTGTTACTTCTAGTACCTACTACTATTGTTATTACTACTACTACATTATAATAATAATCATTACTACTACTACTCCTGGTGCTGCTGCTGCCGCTACTGACTGCTATTGTGATTATGATGACGAGGAGGAGGACGACGACTACTAGTAGTACAATTACTGCTCCTGCTGCTGCTGCTGCTGCTGCTGCTGCTCTCAATTTGCAATCTCAGAAACTCACGTGCCTGAGAGGGTTTGCAGACGGTTCCAGAACTGCTGCTGGTGGGGCTGGAACGTCACTGCTCGAAGCAGCAGCATTCCCATCCAAGCGAAGCCTCAGGCAGTCTGACGTGGAAGGTCCCTGAAACGCTCGTTCTATACTACTGTAGACTGCGAAATACAAGGATCAAGTCACACGCTTGGCAGGTATGAATAAGAAACCTTCTTCAAGTAGCTGTATGCAATATAAAAATCTGATGCCCACTGAATGCACAGCAGGTGTCACATCGCAGTTGAGCAATGGCTTCTCCACGAGAACCCCGGCCACCCAACTTTCCAGATAGTCAGCGGCCTTGTCAAGCCTGAAAGCCCGGTCACGCAGCATCGGCGCGTACTTCGCAATGTGCTCGCGCGTGGTGGTATCAATGGGGTTCTTCTCCGCCAGAACTGGCAATGCAGAAGGAACAGATTGGTACACTTTGGTTCTGAGATCAATCCTAAACGCAATTGAACCGCCAAGCCTTCCCCCAAGACGATCTTCGGGGTTTGCACAAAACTAAAGGACCCATAGAAGGTTTCCGGGTTCGGGGTCTACATTAAATTACTCGAAGCCCGTGAGACCCTCAGACCATCAAGCTTCATTTTCCAGCCTTAAAAACTAACCCATGTATTGAAAAAAGGAACACTTTGTGCCGGAGCTGCCTTGGGGAAGTCCCTGGGGAAACCTTGCCACAGCTACCGCACGGGGCAAAAAGCGAAAACAGTCCGACCAATCTTTGTCTGCCATCCACTGCTTGGTCCTGCACGCCCATGTTGAAACCGGAATTATTGTAACAACGAGAGCAGAGTCAACAAAGCCTCAAGAACCTATAATTCATGATTCATGCAAACACGGAACCGCAGGATGACGTCGTGCGGGTGGTCCGGGTACTTTGAACCCCAAAACTTGTCGTTGATGCTGTTCTCGTCGAGTCCTGCATTCGAGACTCATAATGACAAGGGAAGACAATGAAATGGCATGCCGGTGACAAACTAATTACTGTTACTGTTACTTGCACACTGTGCCAGCGCACATTGGTAATTAAATGTGACATCATGATCCTGCATCACACCGTCTCTCGAAGCGGAAGACATGCGGGGCACCAGGGCCAGCGATGCCAGTGAGCTGCACAGGTACGGCCTTGAGGTAGAAGCCTTTCCTAGCACAGCAGCTGTGACAAACTAAATAAACCCTTGCGGCGACAGTACAAGGAAGAAGTGGCTCGCATTCAATGTGTATAATATTATATGGAGATTAATAATTAATAAAGTCAGTCGGATGGAACGAAAACAACTTGAACTTGGAGTGGAATCTGTCAAACTCTGACTTAACTAAGTTTGATTTCCCACATCTCAGAACCATTGATTCCCAGCCGCCATTCACGGGTGTTGTCCACCTTGAATGCAAAGCGGCCCGGTTCGTACGGGCGTGGCAGGGCATCCAAAAAAGATTGCACATGCGAAACCAGCTCCTCCGAAGTTTGGCACTGTCTCACACGTTTTAGATGCTTAGCAACTTGGCCGAAGAGCTGATCTACATCTTCGTGTGAGTGCCCCGTGCGTAAATAGGATGCCGTAGCGGATAAGCAGGATCCGTTGCTGACTAAAGCTGCCAACATTCGAAGGACAGGTCCGTTCTTCATCTCCCGAGACGTATTATCTGCCTGGATATTCACGTGGGTCCTGCTGAGCTGCATTCCCCGATCCTTCAAGCGCTGGAGGCAAGACCCGACCAGTTCCACACAAGTATTGGAGTCTTCGCGCAGACAAGGCTCGGAGACGGACATTGCGATGAACTGTCCGTGTACAAGACAGCAATAGACGTGCTGCTTTGGCCGCGCCCATGAGTCGAATGCCTTCGCCCGCATGAACGGACTTCTTGGTAAACAGAACTTCGACTGATCCATTCCGTCGCAGATCATCGTGACGGTGTCAGTTCTCAACCGTGCCAGGCCTCGCATGGACCAGTAAATGCAACGGTCATTGAACTGCTGACGAATATGGGCATAGTAAAGTTCTTGTTGGTGTCGTCGTGCATTCAGGTGATGGTTCAAGGACGCGATCAAACTCTTATGACGCACACAGGTGGTGCAAACTGCATGGGAGCTCGTCGGCCTGAATGTCATGCGTGGGAAGTGCCGGCGCCAGACCTGGATTGCAAGGTTCGCGGCTGTGATTGGTCCGTTACCAAATTAGTTTTATCTATTATTGTAATTATTTATGATACTATGATTTATTAAAACTGTTAACTGATGTTGAAGTTGAGCTGCCCGCCAGAACGTGGCGAAACCAACTTTCTGCTTGGACTGCAAAAGGAACTGCTCGAAGTATTCCTTCATGCTGCCAGGCGGTAGAAACCTTGGTTCCTGGTCGTCCGTCTTCTCAGAAGCTGTGACACTCCTGAATCGCTGTCGAGTCTTCCTGGCATCGCCTGCAGCAGCAGCAGCAGCAACCTCCGCTTGCAAGTCCAGCTCTCTGTCAGGGTTGGTAAGGGCCGCTGCGTAAGGATCTTGGTCTGGATCCATGGTAGAATCTCGGACATCTGGCATATTCTCTGCCACACTGTTGTAAATCTCCTGAAGGAACGAGAATATTTCCGAAACGCCTTCCTGTGTAGGCTTGCACTTCTTCAGAAACCGGAGGTCGGCAGGTGGGCCAGCAAGACCGTCGTTGACAGCTTTCCGCAGTTTCTTGAACCGTGCTGCCCCTTCGAAATTCATTGATATCTATCGAACAGAATCACAACGAATGGTTACTAATTTTACTATGACCTTTTAGGGACAAATTTAGCAGTGGGCCTAAGGATGATGACGATATTAATGGATAGTGAAGGCAGTCTGAGAATGACATGTTCAAACTAACATAATAATACTAACGGCTGCCAAGGCGCCCAAGCCATGAAGCGCAAGCCACGCTCGCAGACATACAGAACGGCCCAGAAACACCCAGCGTTTGCACACTGGTTTCTCCAAGGCTTCTCGGACCCGCTCGAAGACCTGTCAGCCGCCATTAAAATTGAATTCATGACATGATATGATAATGACAGACTTCAAGTTTTCGATTGTACCTCCGCTTAATTTAAATTGCTACTTTGAAAATGCTAGCTTTAACTAATAGACAGTCGTGGAATAAGAATAATTAACACTATACTAATAGTGCCAGATCTCTGGCTTCAGTCATTAAAAACCCAACACAATACGTTATAATATATTTACTGGACGAATCATGATTGAATTCGTGAGTCGGGAGACGAGTTGATCCTGATCCGTCTTGTGGAACTGCCTCCACTCTTTCCGGAAGGCCAGCAACTCATCAAAGCCCTTCTTAGCTTGGAACCATCGCTTGCAACCTCGTTTGCACGTTTTGTAGCATGATTTGGCCAACATGCGCTTCAAGTGCAACTGGTCGTCGGCCGCAGCTCGTCGCTTGTCCTTCTCTGCAGCAGGGCCAGCTGTCCTTGCCTTCTTTAACGGGGGCCCCGCAGGCCGACGACATGCACTCTCAGAGCTGTCTGACAGCTCATTGACATCCGCAGGCAGCCCGCCATCACCAGGAACCATGCCCCATCAAGTCTGGCAGGCATGGTCAACGTCACAGTCAGCACGGCCTACCATCACCAAGAATCATACAGCACCAGGCAGAACGATCGGTCCACCATCAAGTGCAACAGAGGCACTGCTGGAGCGCAGGACTTCTTATAAGATGACAACCGTGCTCAAAGTACAAATGCGTGACAGGATCAATTTATCAGGCTGCGGGACTTCTAACCACTCTGGGTGCACTTGAACACTTTCCGACTTCCTGCCCAGAGAAATTTCTAAGCATGATACAAATTATGAATCACGACCCTGTAAATGATGGCTGGGATTGCACTGACTCACTGAGCCAAGTATTTTGTCCTTCTGAAACCAATATTGACTCGTCATGACATGGGCTTGAACTGCAGGCACGCGCTCAGACACGGAGTAAGAGGCAACAGGTAACATCAGCAGTCAGCAGCTGAAACACGCCCACATCCCAAATTCAATGAGCACAGCTGACACTTGAAGGCTGAAATCCAACAACCCAACTTCACTTCTCCTGGTTGCTGCTGCTTGCCGGTGCACCGGACTCGATATCGTTCACGGGCGCCAACCTCCGATTTAATTAATAAGGGGTCTTAGTAGTTTTATAGTCAGCACTTGTCACGTCGACCACGATGTTCGATCGTTATATAGCAAGTATGGACAATTTCACTATCATCACATATGGAGACTCTGGCTTGCATCCTGAAACAGACATCCCATATGAAGACAAGACACTGCATCTGGAGCACCCGCTGACATCAGAAGTAAATCAGCAGTGAGGCAGCGCAGGCTCCAAGGTCGCATCTAAGGAAGCTTCCGACTCCGTGTATAATTTATACACGGAGTCGTAAGCTTCCGTAGAAGCTTGAAGGTCAGAACGCCTGTATCAACATCACTTACGAGCACCCCATGCTGCATAAGGATCAATCTATAAATAGTGGTATGTATAATTGGGTTGAATTCTTCACGGAATCTGACTCTGTAACTGCACCTGGGGAGCCCGCCAGCAAGTGGCATGGCTGAGAAGTGTGTCCATGGCAGCTGACTTGACAAGTCAACAATGAATGTATGCAGAGCTTCCTGCCCAAAGAATCTGAATCTTCAGACGAGCATCATTGCACGTGCTGCTGCCGTTCGTATCTTTTCAACTCTACCCTCGGACCATTTGAAGCATCACGTTGCACGCCTGCGCAGCTGATCCTGGGCTTGCCTACTAGTCCTGCCCTGTGACTATGCGAAGCAGCACGTCGCACGCCAGCTCAGCTGACTGCGGGTTTGCCAAGTTGCCGAGGCAATGAAGCCTGAAGCGGTCCTGTGCCTCCACGTTTGGCACCAACCACTGCTCCATTGGAAGCGCATTCAACGGATTCCATGGACCGACCGACTTGTCGATGCCACCGGCTGCCATGCCCTGCCAAGAAATTTGCTCTCTTGACGCAGGCACTCTCCAGCCCACCCACAATTACTACCCGGTTCCGGGGCCCAATCCCACCCAGCCACACCTCGAAGAATGTGCAGCCTTTGCGAAGGGCCCAGAAGAAAACTCTGCTCCGGCTGGCCTCAGATGGAAGATGCTTGGCATGTTATTCTTGTTACTGCACTGCGGTCCCACGCCCAACGAACCGGGCGGCCCCCTACTCCTGGAGACTCTTGAGCTCTGGGGCCTCACCTCCCAAACAAGACAAGCCCTTGAATTGAAAACAGCAACCAACCCATGAACCCAACCCATGGCTCAGTCAGACTGATAACCTCCCAAGATAAAGAAAATTTACACAAGCGGGATAAATAAAGCTTGACCCCTTGGGTGTGAACTTGAACCGGGCAGAACACAATTCACACCCTTACTGTTACTATTATAATCATTGCTGCAGTCAGGCAAGTCTCTCGCAAACCCACATTTTGAAGGCTTGTCTGGCACCAGAAGACCTCGAGGTCACGTTTGCCACACTCCTTGCTGCTGGGACTGACTGCTTGACTCCGGATAGCACACCCAAGATCGACAACAAATCAAACCGAAATCTATAGTCCTTCAGCAAGTACAGGAGGACCTCACGCAGCGCGGGCGACAGGATGGCCGCTGTATTCTCCAAATAAATGATCTTCCTCCTGGGTACAAACACACACGGCCAAATCGGAGCTTCGAGCCTTGACATTCACTTTAAATCTTAACTGAGAGACAGAGACACAGATAAGAGAGATAGAGGGAGAGAGAATGATTCTGAGAGAGTGAGAGAGAGAGAGAGAGAGAGAGAGAGAGAGAGAGAGAGAGAGAGAGAGAGAGAGAGAGAGAGAGAGAGAGAGAGAGAGAGACAGCGATGCTGCGATATAGCTGGCCTCTCAGGGTTCAAGGTGTCATACACCCTGAACACCTGCGCAAGCAACTTCGTGCGCTCGTCTCGCCAGCCCCGCTGGTGCCCAGCTCGGCTGATGCCCTGACAGCACCAGGAGCAAGAACGCTTCATCACTGCATCACTTGTCCACTCGCTCTGTGAATCATTCAGTCAATCATGGAGTCCGGAGTCCGAGCATGTAGAGTCTGGCCTGACATGGGAAACCACCTCCCACGCCGCAAGCGGGGTGGGTAGTTGTAGCCGAAAAGGCACGGATGTCATGATGCACGGGTCCCTGCGGCAGCAAGCCGTCCTGCTGTCTTGCAGCAATGATGCTTGCAGCGAACTCGTCAGCCTCCACCTCAGCACGGACACCAGAATACTACACTGTATAATAAGCGCAAGCAGACTGGCTGGATGTTGAGTTTGAGTCCCAGGCGTAATCGGTGACTCGGAAGTATCTGACAAGTGATGTTATTTTCAAGCCGTTCAAAGCACGGTGCATCTGAAACCTGCTGAGAAGCGGGCTTGGACATTCCCAATTCGAGGCCTCCAACACCACTGAAAACGCTGATGACGGGCAACTTCTGGGCTTCGTCCTGACACGACGTCCCATGACTACCAGGATTCAGATTCAGTCAGATGACCTGACAATCAGTGATGGTCCTTCAGAGCATGTGGGAACATGCTCCGGAAGACGGCGTTGTTGACGCTGCCGGTGCATGGGCTGCTCCAGCCGCGAGGCAGGCCTCCCAGAGCAGGACTTTGAAACAATTCCGCTAAGAACGGTCCAACAAGGCCTGAAAACCATTCTGCTGCTTCCACATTCAGGTAGTCGCCGCTAACACCATCCGGACCGATGGCTTCCTTGTACATGACGCTGTGCTTCACTTGATTGGCCAGGTCCTTGCTTTGAGTCTGAGTCTTACAGACTCAACGGCTTGAAGTGCTGCATGTCAGAAGCCCAGTGTCGCGGATGCCACGTTGCGACACGGAATCAGGATCACAGGCCTTGAACGTAGCACCGAAGCAGCCTGACTGAGACGAGCTTTACAACGGTGGGTTTAGTTTGTAATGCGCACTGAGCACCGGACGGATGGTGCTCCAAGACTTGAAGATCTTCGTGCCCCGAAACTTCAAGGCCCCGTTGCTTTTAATAGCATCCTTACCACGGCCAGGCACCTCCTGGGAGCAGACTGGTTACGGCTGCCATTGCACACTGAAAGCAGGAGAGAAAAAACTCAGGAATGGGCCACCTCAAGATTCAAAGCAGCAGCTTGCCCAAATCGGACAGCATATGCCGAAACATCAACCCCTCTGTGGGGCCGGAGACATGCGCGTGCACAAGGCGGCAACCTATCTCTTCTCGTGAGAAGAAAACTTCCCAACATCTGCATCTCTCCCACGGAAAGCTTCTTCTGGGCATTCACCAGCATCGCCTGTACATCCCACGCGATGCGACTGAATTGTCAATTTGCCTGGCTCGACGAAGACTTGCAACCCAACAACACACGGCAATGGCCTGAAGTGTCTTCGAAGCTCGCGACTGTTCCTCAATGTCAATTTGGAAAACAAATGCAACAGACGTACCTGGCTGCTGCTGTGTGTCCTTCTTCTTCTCCTTTGTCAATCCCTCGTCCTTTGAAACCTCCTTCTTCTGCACCTGACAGCGGCAAAGAGCGAAAGGCAAGTGCTAGTAGTTATTACAGGAGACTGGTAATGAAGCAGGGAGGGAGGAGAGGGAATCCCGCGGATGAGGCAAAGGGTCTTTCATATGGCAATGGGTCTTTCAGAGGGTGTTTTACGAGAATTTAACAACTTCTTTAGTTTCCCTATTTTATTAGAACATGGGAAAGTATTTTGCAAGGTTTGGGATTTCTGATTACCGGCGGGACTGGCCGCATTCTGCTTTCATATTCTTTGTCTGACCGAGACGTCAAACCCAATGACCGCCACCATCTGAACCCAAAGATTTTAAGCTAAACCCCTAGAACCTGCAACCCCGTGCTAAGTTAGCAAATGATGGCCGGCCGTGTCGACTCTTAGTTTCAAGACCCTGTCAGTCCCATCGTTTTTTCACACAAGCCGACCAAGCAAGCCGTGCACTGCTCAAAACTGTCAGCTTTGCACACCACCTCTGGAAGATTCGCTCACTGTTGAGGCGTCTGGCTCCGAAGTCCCATACATCAACACTCGAGAAAAGCAAGGTTAATCCGCTGCATCAGCCGCTCAAGCCATGTAAGTCGAGACTGTTGCTGAGCCAGTGAAGCCTCCAGCCTTTCGCAACGAGCCCTCAAGGCAACCAGCTCCTCGCGTTGACGATCGAATTGCACTTGCAAGTCGAAGACGTGCCGGGACACCATGCTCATAGTGGAGGTCTCAGAGGAGTCCACCTCGCTGGAAGAGTCAGCTGCTGCAGCTGCAGCCTCGGAGCCCTCCATCCTCCATCCAGACAGTCAGTGCTAGCCTGCAAATCAAATTTCTAGTCTAGCAATTTAAAAGCCAAGTCGAATAGGATTGGCATGACATGTCACGTTACGGCTGTTTCTGTTCTGCTCTGCATTACATTGTCCCTGTCACTGTGACAGCTTCGGAGCCTAACGAACAAACATCAGAATATTAATCAAGTCCCCTGAATGCAAAAGCGTGCAACAGCCTCAAGGG